GGCTGGCATTGGGTGGCACTGGTTGGCACTAGCTGACACTAATTGCGGCTGGTTGGCAATGGTTGGCACTGGTTGGCAGTGGTGGGGAAGGCAGCGTGGGGGTTGGAGCCACACTCAGCGGGCACGGAGCAGTGAGCACAGCAACTGCACAGCGCTCCAGTGGGGACCTTTTCATTTCCGAGGTAGAGGCCAAGAGCACATTAATTTTTCAGTGCATTCTGAGAGCGCCCATCGTGTTCTTGGCTCTAAGAGGATAATAACTCGCTCGCGAGCACCTCGTATTTCTTGTAGGCTGCTGCTGGCTTCGGAGAAAAGTGTTGTGTGAGCACTTCTGTAAAAGACTTGGCCCCATCGGCACGCAGTCAGTAAATGGCTGAGCTAAATAACACATTGTTAGCAATAGGAGCATTTCATAGTTTTAAACCTTTTCTTTCTTCTTCTTCTTTTTTTTTTTTTTTTCCTTTCCAAGGTAAATTCCAGCGGGATCAACACTACACAGGAATTGCCCTGGAGGAAGCTGGCTGTTCACCAATTCATCTTGTAAAAGAGATTCATTATTACTGTTGAGCTGAGATGAAACAATCCTCTGGAATTAACCAGCCTCATTTTTGACCGGCCGATGTTTTGCCACAATGAACGTTTTTATTGTCACACATAAAAGCCAAGCCCCTAACAGCCGGGGGGAGGAGATGGGTGGGTGATAAAGCTGGGGTGTGTTGGGCTGCACGTGCACACACACACATACATATGCACACACATGCACACACACACACCTGAGGATGCTGTGGCCTTTACCAAATTCTGCACTGAATGCCCTGCAGCAGCCACACAGTGCCATCACCCCATTGGCTTAGAATCATGGGAGCATGAAGGTTGGCCAAACCTCCAAGACCACCAAGTTGTGTTCCCCCCCCCCTCTGCCCACTGACTGCATCCCTACCATGGGCAGGGCGTCCCCAGCCCCGCTGCATGGACGCCTCACGAGCATCCCTCAGTGCTGCACCGGAGCCCATTCCCACTGCAGGCACATCGGGGCAGATCTATGAGCAGTTTCCCTCCACGTGAGCCCCTGCCACATCCAGAAGCTCTCAGCGAGGCACCCAAGCAAACAGCCCTGCAGTTTCACAGCGCTTTACGGCAGCACAAAGCAGCTGCACTGTTCTCGAGGCACGCCGAAGCGGTTTAATTACATTTTGACACTAAGAGCTGTTTTATTATCCCAATTTTCGTTGTATAACCAGAACAAGCGATGGATTGCAGAGGCATAATCCATTAATACTCACTTGTGAGGATTTGTAGCTTTGGACTTGTGGCCTTATACCTTCCTTGCAGATAAATATATTATCCCCCGGCGCAGCCTATCTGGGGGAGCTCACAGCACTGATGGATGCAGTGTTTATGGGCACCAATTAGA